TTTGTCATGTGGAAGATTAACCCAATGCCAATGGGGAAAGTGCTGTGTTCACATAAATATTATTTTGTTAAGTGTTTTTGTTTATAGATGGCTCTGCCAGTGCTTATCCACAAAGGAGTCAATTTGTAGAACTTGTGATCTCACCTTTTCTTGAAATCAATATTGACACTGTTATTTTTGTTACAAAAATTACAATTACTACATTGTTATTGACAATACTAGCAGAAGTATTAAATACTAGAAAAACTTATCGAAAATCAATGAAAAGGGCAAACGGGAGACAGTTAGTTATCGTAATAGGCTCTTTGGTGACTTAGTACTTGTGGAGCCATCTATATGTAAAAACAATTACTAAATCAAACACACAGTGTGCATGGCATGTACGCACATGCCACCCCCAACAGAAAATGGTTAATCCATTAGTTCTTTCAGCATATCCCAAAGTGTGATGAAAGAAAAGAATCCAAAATATTAGAATTTGATTGTTTATTGATTGTTCAAAACTATTGTGATTGAAAGTGTCTTGAATGTCCAACCAGTTTCCAATATTCTAAACTCAAGGCATTCATATTTTGCTTTGTTAGGCCTTGTTTAACCCCTTGAATCCAGTTGCATCATGGCAATCACATGAATGAAAGTACAGGCATTAGGCCTATGAAAGTGGCTGCTCTGCCAGCTGTGTGTGTAGGATGGGCACATGCGAACACTCATTTGTGGTGACAAGACTCTATGCCTCCCCTTTACAGATTTATTTTACATAAGTGTTTTCAACTTTTTTGCCATTTTCTAATGTCCATATTTGTCTTTTGATTTGCTTAATCCTGATGGTAATGGAATTTTTCCTTGACAGACTGCACAGACCCCATACCATCTCTATGTAGTTAAAAAATAAATTAATAAATAGATTTAAAAATCCCTTTTGTGTTATGCTTTATTTTTTTTGTAATATTAAATTTCTGCAATATAACCTGCACCGAGAAATAGGATGCAGAGCACCTGGAGCTGGTGCTCTTCCAGAATATTGCAAAAGTCCCTCTCTAAATACCAAATAAGTATAATCACCCTCTGAGAGGTTTGTGCACTAGTGGAGAGGCTTTTCCATCAGCCTGGCCTTCGCTCCTGATGGCAAGTTACCGCCACCTGGCCCGCAGCCATTTTTACCCATGATGGCATGTTATGTCACTTGACCCTCAATCTAAATTTTTTCCTGAAGTGATGGTAATGTCACCCATATCAAAAGGGTGAAAGCAAGCAAATGAAACAAAATAATTGGGATATTAAATTAGATGTGAAATTTAGTATGACCAAACATTCCTATTGACACATTTTAGATCAGCATTTTCAGATTTTATTAAAATTTGTTTGTTATTGTTTCATTTAACTGATGTTTTTTTTGTAATTACAAGAAAGTCATAAAGCACGTAATTTCCAATAAAGCAATGATTAAGACAGAGTCATGGAAATAAAAGTGAAGGTGATAGTTTAGGTATAAACTTCAATCATTATTATTATACATGAGGGGAGTACCTGAAATGTGAGCAGTTTATCTCTCTGTAAGGAAAACTTTTTAGTTACACAACACTTATGACGGTGTAAGATAGCTATTCTTTGTCGTACACTCAAATCTTTTGGAAATCCAAGTAATAAGCATTTTATATTAAAAAAAATAGTTATAGTGAGTTTAATGACTTTAAAAATGTAATTGTCTTGACACAAAATATTATGTGATTTGTACAACTATGTATTTATTACATCTTAGTTTTGTTGTAAAGTAGTTCTTAAACTAGTCTTTTCATGTAGATTAAGATAGGTATGCATAAGAGAACCAGCCGGCATGGGTTTGGAGAAATTCTGAGTTAGACACCACCAGTTGTACTTGAGAAAGAGGCGATTTTAATGTAATTGTTCAAGTGTGAATATTTTTTAATCGGTGACCCTATTGCCTTGGCGGAGATATGTATTCTCTGAGTGCTTCTAGTTGTTATTTTTATGATCATCATTTCATTGATAATTCTAATGTTTTTAACAAAATCAGTAATAGTAAAAATGAAACAAGAAGTTTTCTTAAAATTGAAGGAAATAATTTCAGTTGGGATCAGATAGGACTAGCAACTGACTCCATGGTTACAAGGCATTTATGGCTCTGTCTCCATCCCAGCTTTAGTGGGTTAACAATCTTCAGTTTTGCTATTTTAGAATCCTTTTTTCATTTCTCTGGTAGGAAATAAAATTTCAATTTCAAGTGGAATCAGTGTCAGTGAAATCTGATAAGATTGTTGGAAAGACAGACAGAAAATGTAAATATAATTGTTACATTTCATTTGGTTTGTTTATCTGCAAATTGTTATTATTATTATTATTTATTATTATTTTTTTTTAATTATTATTATTATTTATTTATTTATTATTATTATTTTTAAGATGATGGGATCATTAAAGTTGGTTATTTATGAATTTGATTTTTTTCAATGTAAGGAAATTTGTTTACAAATAATAGTGTGTGCATTATTACTCAGCTTAATATACAACAGGCAGGATTATTCCATATACAAAGATGATATATGGAAGGATTACTTTTTCAGAGGCATTACTTTATGGAAATCTCGTAGACTTTGGTATAACAAAATAAACAAAGGAAATTCAAAGTATTTGAATTTCCTTTATCAGCAAGGTATTTGCTTTTTTATTTCTTTTTTCTTTGGTCAGCTATTTCTGTGTGTTTCTCCAGACCTGTTACAAAGAGTATGATGTGCCCATTTTTGAAAGGCATAGAAATCTATATCCTTCAAATCTTCCACAGTCCAAGAATTGCCATCCGAGGCGGGGAGAGTACAACGTCTACAGCACCTTCCAGAGCCACGAGCCGGAGTTTGATTACCTTAAGTCTTTAGAAATTGAGGAAAAGATCAACAAAATTAGATGGCTGAAAAGGAAAAACCCTGCACACTTTTTACTATCTACTAATGGTACGGTAAAAATGTCTTTCTATTTATATATTTGATTCTATCCGTATTTTTGCATTCTTAAAAGTTGCATGCTAATACATGAACTAATATAAAATAAGATCATTCATACAAGGTGTTTATTCACTTCAGAATGATGTTTTAACATGACATTACCTGATATTATTACTAAAGAGCATAATTTTGATTGGATTCCCATCCATACACACAGTATGTTACAGTATTTCTAACCATTTATAAGGATAATATACTGTGTAAGGAAAGAATGTTAAATCTTAGTTTTTTTTAAATTTCCACCATCCACTATTCCACTATTCAAGAAGAGTGATTTTCCTGTTTATTTTTCTGATGATAGATGAATGAAACAAGATCAGCATTTATAAAATTAATTTCCATTATTATCATGCATCTGTTATTATAGTTTATTGGGGTCTATAGAGGCACTCCTGGTTTGATTTCTAGGATTTTCACTTTACTGTTATTCAAATAAAAAACATCTATTGTGGAGACCAAGGCTGTGGCTGATAGGCAAACTAAGTATAAATGATGGAAAAAACAGCTGTAGATTATACGTAAAGGACAATGTCTTTTAGTCTGATTCTATCTGCAATGCCAGAGTACTTATTTACTCAGATATTTCTGCAAATATCAGTAATATTTCAGTGATATATTTCAGAACACTTACATGATAAATTATTTTACTTTTGGCAAGTTAGACTCATGTAGTCAAAAATCCCTCTCATGTACTAGCTGAATGATGGTTAGTGTCACAAAAAGTACTAAAAAATAAATTCTGTAAAAGAATGTACATATTTATACATCTAATGAAAAAGTAAAATATCCCCTGAAATTTTGAAAATTCTTCAGATTTGTGTGCAGTCATGAGAATGTTCCATTTTGGTAATTATGATGAATCAGCTTTGCTGATTTTGGTAATTATGATGAATCATTATAGCATAGTAGCTACAATCAATCATTATTGATTGTGTATGACTATTAGGAAAATTTCAGCCAATTTAGTATTTTACGGGTGGGAATTATTCCCAGCTTCAGTAATTATATTTTCAGTAGAAATTGCTTAGTTTAAACAACTAAAAGCTCTAAGATCTTGGTCTCATGGTCTCTCTTCACTGTGGGTCGAAATACAGATAATATAATACAGTTGTTTCATTCCATGATTCTAAGCATATAGAATTGTTTCTGAATAGCTGGCTTGTATTGCCCGCAGATAAAACAATAAAGTTATGGAAGGTTTCGGAACGAGACAAGCGAGCAGAGGGCTACAACTTAAGGGACGAGTCCGGCCAAATCAGGGACCCAACTTCACTCACAACTTTACGGGTAAATTTAATGATTATTGTTTGTATTGTTGTAAGTTTATTTCTGCTTTATATATTGATAATGGAAAGAGGGAAAATTACAAGATTTACTGTCTTTGATAGGAAAGTTATACATTCTTGTTTGTACTTTCAGGTGCCTGTCTTAAAACCAATGGAGCTTATGGTAGAAGCCTCTCCTCGGAGAATTTTCGCCAATGCACATACGTACCACATCAACTCCATCTCTATTAATTCAGATCAGGAGACCTATTTGTCAGCCGATGATCTCCGCATCAATTTATGGCATATGGAAGTTACTGATCAGGTCTGTTTTAGCATTATTTTTATACATATACAGAAAACATTGATACAATCTAGCAAAATACGTGACAATTTTAACAAAATAAAATTTCAGAAATACATACATTCTATATTATAAGAAAACAGATGCGTAATTAAATATTCATTCAAAAACTAAATGGGAACAACTTTTGGATCATTTGTTTTAAAAAAATATCACTTTATAATTTAACTCAGCCAGTCACTCAATATAATTTGTTTCTTCCAGTCATTCAACATAGTGGACATCAAACCTACCAACATGGAAGAATTAACAGAAGTGATTACTGCTGCCGAGTTTCATCCACATGACTGCAATGTATTTGTATACTCAAGCAGTAAGGGAACCATTCGCTTATGTGACATGCGGCAAGCTGCCCTCTGTGATAGTCACTCTAAATGTAAGTTAATGATCTTGCTTCTATGGCCAACTTATTGTTGCATTTAGTTAGGGCCAATGAATTTTTATATCAGAATGCTGTATGTTCATATTAAGTCTGATAATAGAAATACAAGTAGGATTTTTTACATATCCATATTAGCTTCTAATTTTGTATTCATTAGATTAATAGATTCAAGGTTCAGTTGGAGTATGAAATATAAAAGTAAGAACGAGAAAAAAGCTTAACATTGCTTAAAAAAACAAAAAAACAAAAAAAGTGTTTTTGTGTGTTGCTTACCTTTCTGTAATGTAAACCATGAATGTTTTCTCCACACAGTATTTGAGGAGCCTGAGGACCCAACCAACCGTTGTTTCTTCAGTGAAATTATCTCCTCTATTAGTGATGTTAAGTTCTCCAACAGCGGTCGCTACATGATCTCTAGGGATTACCTCTCTGTCAAAGTATGGGATCTACACATGGAGACCAAACCTATAGAAACGTATCCGGTAAGGATTGTGAATGTGAATCTCTTTGGGGAGGGAGGGGAGGGGGGGGGGGATTGATGATTGTAGGGATACCTGAATGCATTCAGGTGTAACAGGCTACCATGTTTGTGGACAATATTGGAAATGTGAATGTCTATGATTATGAAAGAAATTTATTGTTTTGGGATATTTTTGTTATGAATGATACTGTTATTTTTTATTGTTCATGAAATGTGTCTAGCGCAAGTAACAACTTTGTTTCCCTTCTACAGGTGCATGAATATCTACGTTCCAAGCTGTGCTCACTCTATGAGAATGACTGTATATTTGATAAGTTTGAATGTTGTTGGAGCGGCAACGACTCTGCCATCATGACAGGCTCGTACAACAACTTCTTCCGCATGTTTGACAGAACGACGAAGCGAGATGTAACTCTAGAAGCCTCAAGGGAAACTGCTAAGCCTAGAACTTTACTAAAGCCAAGAAAGGTAAACCAGATTTTTTATTATTTTGAAAAGTGTTGGTTTTGTCTTCATAGTTTTTATATATGTATGTTTTTATTTAGATAAAGTAAAAAAGAAAGAAACTACTTTGCATGTGAAACATAAACATGAAACCACTAAGATATCATTTATAAATTTATATTACACTAAACATGCTAAACAATTTTGATATACAGTGATATAAGTAAAATGCAATAATTCACTGGTTTTGGCACTAAGAATATTAGATATTTGTATAAGACTTGTGCCCCTATATTGTGTAAATGTTGTATGTGTAGTTACCCCCTCCTCCTCCCTCCCTTTCCCATACTTAAAAGTGTAAACATATAAACACATGTTTGTATGTTTATACTTTTTCTTTTCTCTACTTTTTTCTTATTACCACTATAATTTTGTCAATGATAAACTCCATTTTTGTTTTAGGTATGTACTGCAGGCAAAAGAAAGAAAGATGAGATCAGTGTAGACTGCCTTGATTTCAATAAGAAGATCCTCCACACAGCATGGCACCCACATGAAAATATAATTGCTGTGGCTGCAACTAACAACCTCTACATATTCCAAGACAAATTTTAGCGGTCCTCCTGTGACTAGAGCTTAGGTAGGTATTAGTAAGGGGGATCCTCTATCTATATTTTGTTAGAATTTTTAAGTGTTTAAAAGTTTTTCTTGTTTTGTAGGTATATTTTATAGTCTTGATAGTACTTTTTTTAAAAGTTCTCAGTCTCAATGTAAGTCATTTCTTACTGATACATTAATTAATAGATAATAAACCCTTGATGCTTAGGCATGTATGTGAATGTGTAGTCAGTAGACACTGGGTTTTGTTCATTTTGTGCTTCCCAACCTCTGTCAGTTCCAATGTCACCATGCTATTTTAGCTCAGCCTTGCCCTTGACCTTTTAAAAAGTCTGTTGAGACCAGAGGAAGAGAATTTCTTGAATGAATCCTGGTGTTTAAGGGTGAAAGATTCTTATGTAATTTTTTATGTCAATTTTAGTCAGAATTTAAACATTGTCATATTAGATTCCAACTATCATTTTTCAATATTCTTTATACTACATGGTTAAGAATTATTCTTATTTTACAGACCCCCATCTGGTGGATGTCTGGGCATGGCCATCAGGTGGTGCAAGAAAGGTCCCCTGGAAGGGCTGTTGCACTAACTCGGCCTGCCCCACAAAGTTGCATCTGCATGAAGCCACAAAACTCGCGCTGGCCACCCTATCAAGGCTCACCTTTGGTCGAGTTGTGGCTCATTTGTCTCTTGGGTTGTTCTGTTTACAAGTCGACGGTGGCCACATGTGCCACACACCAACGGCGACCAAATCATCCTGGGCTGTAGTGCCCGTTTATCAGTGCTGCCATCCCACAGGACATGTTCAGCAGCTGATATATAGAAATACTGTGGGTGCCCACCCTTGTGATCTTGTATCTGTGTTTCATCCTCAGATCATCTGTTGAGAAGTGATTAGTTGCCTTCTATCAAGGCTATTAAAATATAATTTAAGAAGAAAATGGCTGACTAGGTGAATCCAGTGATGTTGAATGGATAGGAGTTTGCCATGTTATTATCAATAGATTAGTGGCTTAAAATTTAAAAAAGATATGGACTGCAGAGCCCAAATTTCTTTCTCGGATGCCTGGCTTTTTTTTTATCAATTTGAATGTGTCTTGTTGCCAAATTGAGCTGTGACCGGTGACTTGAATAACTAGGGAAATGGGGCATGACGGCGCTAACCTCTGGGATTGGTTGGGTTTCTGCTTAATAAGTCATTCTAGGCTTAGAACTAACCCTAACAAGCATGAGGGCTGAGCGCTGCCGTGCCCCACAGGCCCAGTGACTGAGGTAAGTAGCATGAATGTCTCACAGGATTATGTTGATGTGCTCATTGCTTCTACAAGACCACTTCCAGCTGCCAGAAAATACAACATGATTACCAGTTGTTTACGTTAGCTGTTGTGTCACGGCAAGGTTTATTTTCTCTTTGTCGTAAAGCAGAGGGTAAAGCTTACTGGAATGCAGTTCAAAGTCAATAGGTGGTATTCGTGATGTAAACATCTAGTGTGTGGCGCGGCCGCACAAACAATTTTTCTCCCTCACCTTAGCTTTTTTTATTTTTAATTTTTATTAATATTTTTTTCATTTTTGAGATTCAGAAAATTGGTTGAAAGGATCATCATTTCCAGTGTTTATTGTCTCAGACTGCTGTATACTTTTTTAATTAGTTCCATGTAATAAATTATATTTCAATAGGCAAGATGTGTTTTCATAATGATAAAAAACATCCATATTTAAAAAGAAAAAAAAAAAAAAGTAAAAAGACAAAAACAAACAAAAAAGTGTTTATGTTGATTATATTTTTTTTCTTATACTTATTTAAGTTCTAGAACTGACGTTTACAAAATGATATTTCATTTAGGTAAATACCCATTGGGGTCAACATCCTCTCAAACAGGCAGTTGGTAAGAGGAGCCATCCTGATGAGTGGAGGAGCGAAGCTAAACTTTTTTTTTTTTATTTTTTTTATTTATTTTTTTCTTGTGGTATTGTTCATTTACATAATTATCTAGAAAATTGGTCTTTTTTCAAGTTCTAGTTCCAGCCACCACAAGATAATTTCACTGTTAATATAGCTATATATATGCAGAAAGGGTATCAGGTGATTTCATAACAACTCTTTACTGTGTGAAAAGTTCCATGAAGAGTGGTAAAGCAGATACTGCATGTTGAAGATATGATCTTTTTAATTGGGTGCAGATTATGCAGTTTCAAATATCTGAAGAAAAGGCATGACTGCATGAGAGTTGGATGATATTAACGTCAATTATGAACCTGGTGTGTCAAAATTGCAAATAACATCTTAGTGCTATTAGTAGGCCTTAGAAAGTTGATACTGCAATGGCTGGATCTAAGAGTCCATGGGATTTATGTAAATACATAATTTATTTGTTTACTAACAATCCAAGGGTTCTAAGTTTTTAGTATTTCTTGTCAAGGTTTATGTTTCTGAAGCATTTACTGCAGGAAGATGTAAGCAACTGGCTTCCTTTTTTATTGAGCCTGTTAACTGCCTGTTCAAAGGAAGCAAACTGATTGAAGTTTGATAAAAGATGGCTGATCACTGCAAATTATATCTAATTATGTAAAACAACACAGATATTTATATAAATATATACAGTTTTTGTTGTATGAAATAATTATTACTTTTTTATAATAAACAAACAGGAGTGCATGTTGAACCAATGTTTACTGAAGGCTGGTAAATCCCCCCTCGTTTCATAGGTATTTGTGTATTGTCATGGACAGTAGTTTGAGCACACAGGAGTTCACTTAAAATTGACATTGACCTAATAATAATTACGCTTTTGGCATTTGTAACAGTTCAACCAAGTTCCAGAAAACTGTGACTTTTGTTCATGATATTACACCCATATTCTTGTGATAATGAAAAAAGTAAGAACTGGTTGTAAAAAGTAGGAGGAAAGAGCTGTCAGTCAAAGTAGTAATTGCAGAAAGATTCTGACAGCTTTCATAACTTCTCCGAAGGATGAACTTATATTCTAATGATTGTTAGTATCAAATCAAAATAAATCATGCATGAAGTGGAACAGGGATATACTACTTTTTTTATTCATATATATATTTTTTATTGAACCTATATTATTACTAGTCTTGCTAATGTACATGTCAAAATAATTGCATATGAAATTACCTTCTTGACAAAAAATAAATATCTGAAAGCTTCAAAGTGATGTTAGGTAAAATTCCCAGCACCAGTAGTATGTGAACCTCACATAGGTCTGTATTCCTTATTTCTTCACCAAGTTGTATTTGCTGCTTTCAATAATACAAATCTTCAAGAACTTACCAGACCAAGTATATTATACTTGTATCACCAATGCTTTCAAGATGTATAAAAATTGACCTGTTCTGTGTGCATGAATGAGTATGTGAATGTTAAAAAAAAAAGAAAAAAAAATGTAAATATGCTAAACAAAAATATAAAAAAAAAAATTAAAACTTCAGATTGGTTAAGCTTGCCTCATATAATGCATCCCCTTTATTCTTGATGTACTGAAATGAAATTGCAAATGATTTTCCCAGCTTGGGGCACACACGAATAATGAATGCCTGTTGCATCTGCACCAGTTGCTGATGTGAAAGAAATATGACTAATATAAATGTTACAAAAAGTTTACACATGTTCCCTTCATAAACACTTCTGAAAATTGGATCCATTCCTATCATTTACAATAAGATTAACAATTACCCCCCCCCCCTTGAGGAAAGAACATGAAAAATGAGCTTACTATTTCTCAAAGAATTTCTCATTTCAGACAAAAAAATGTGGCTTTCAAATAGATATATCCCAAGCACTATGAAACTCACACTCGATAAGGGGGAAACCTAAAATGTAAGAGGTCATTTTTCCCTTAACCAATTCCAACAAGCAAAGATAGGCAACTTCCTGATTTCCAGCAAACATTTCAATGGGACCAAATATAGAAAAGTATGTAGCCCCAAATTTTCAGTTCAGAATGTCGTTACCTTAACTCGCTGCTGTGGGGGCATGGCATGTATGGACATACCATGCCCACTGAGAGTAGTTTATTAATTGTCTTTACACAGATGTCTCCACAAGTACTAAGTCGCCAATGACTAGAAACACCTATCTTATATGTTTATCCTATTATTGATTTTCAAAAATACTTTCATCTATGTTATATTTCTGTTTGTAATGTTAACATAAAAAAATGTTTAGTAATAAGAACATTGATATTTTTAGAATTAGTAAATAAAACATTTTTCCTGAACTCGAGGTAAATTGAAATCATTTGAGGTTGACTAATTGCCTACTTGGTGGGTAAGGACTTGTGGAGCCATGTATGTATAGACTTCTAACAAAACAAATCTACAGTGAAAATGGGTTAAGATACTTGTAGGAACTGCATCTTAATGAGTGATGACATAAACCAGTAGATTCATGCTGTATTATTTTTTATGCAAAATTATCAATTTTCACAATGAAAACAATTGAACGTGTATATATGTATATGGAAACATAAATAATGAATAAATAACTTCTCTGATAGGGACTCGAACCCTCTCTCTTACAGGCAGGAAACTGCAAGGGTAAGGGTTTGCGTCCCTATCAGAGAGGTTATTTATTCATCATGTCAATGCAATATTGCATTATTTCATCTTTCACGTGTGTGTGTGTGTGTGTGTGTGTGTGTGTGTGTGTGTGTGTGTGTGTGTTGTGGTGTCTGTCTGTCTGTCTGTCTGTCTGTCTGTCTGTCTGTCTGTCTGTCTGTCTGTGTGTCTGTCTGTCTGTCTGTCTGTCTGTGTAAACATGTATATACTGCATAATACTGCGAACAATTTACGAAAATGAAATCCTGTACCCTTTGGTGAGCTGTCATCTACCTGTTTTTGTTTCTATAATGTATTTTATTTCATTATTTTTTTATAATAATAATAATATTAATTTCAATAAACATGATCCATTCTTTGCTCATATGTATTCAAAAGAGTGAAGTGATTTTAATAATACATCTAAAATCTTCATATCAGATGAAAAGTTTATACAACACATCAAACAGGATGCATATATCAATAGGTCTATCAATGCAACATTGGCTTTACAAGGTGGCACGGGAACTCCTCTCTTAAACCACATACTTAGCTTCTTTGTACTATTCATTGGTAGGTGTGGGTGCATGGGTGTGTGCATGTGTGTATGTGTGTTTTAAAAGTGCTGTCTATGTCAATTAGTCCATATTTTTCCATCCTTGATAACTGAATCAAGAAAAAACTTGCATTATTTACTGACAAAGAAGACTAGTAATTTGCACTTGGAATTGTAATATCAGTTTCAAATTGGTGTCTATATTTATCGATAAATGGGCATCGCTGAGTGTACAGCTCATAGGGAAGGGACAGGATAACACTTTCCTCTCATCAGAGTGATCAGATTATTTGACAAAAGAAATTTAAAAAAAACTAAGTAAAAAGCATTTGCATGCAAATGTACTTTCTTTAATGTGATTCTAACAACACTTGAAGGTTGCTTGTTATTTTTTTCTCCCCCTTTCCTTTTCCTTCTCTTCTTCATCCCCTTCAGTCCACATCCTAAAGTGTAAGAGCCGTGCTAAAAGGATGAAAGGCTGGGTTTGTGTCGTTCCTGAATGGCCTTTGTACTTCATGTGCTCTTCCCTCGCTACCTTTTCCACTATACTAACCTCTGACATGCAAGATATTTTGCCCTCATAATTTTTAACCATTTTTGCCACAATACTTTATCACAGTACTATAACTTTTCCTTGAGGGCTTTACCCCAAGCCTCACCATATTATATGATGAATTCACTGCTTTAGATTTTGATGCAGCAGAAAATTTTCAACAAATAAATGAATACCGACGTACAACTGCAGGAAAGCATATGATGTATATGTCAAGTCATAGTTCCAACAATACATGCGTATACTGTAAACACTCCATGGTCACACAATGAGGGAAATGTTAAGAAGACTCCCACATGTCTATTATTGGGCTAGATGTCACTGGCCATGGTGTCATAGTTTGCCAGTGCTGTAGCAATGACGAATAACTACTCACCACATATATTCCAGCAAGATAAAGCTTGTAGACCTCTTGCCAGAATTTATGCAATGGAGGTTTGTTATCAAGTGCTGGAGCATGTTACATGAAGGGAGTGGCAATTACTTTATGCTGACACAATCAGGTTAGGGTTGCAGGCCTTCCATTACAAACAACAGATTTAAGAGTAGATCTGAATGGAAAATCTTGTAATACAAGAAAAGACCCATTTCCAAAGCCACTTTAAGTGTCTTATACACACTACCAACAATATATTTCTGGGTGTATTCAGTGAAGCACTTGGGTTTATATGTTTTCACTGCCTATGCTTTATTCATTTACCACCACCATGCTCTGTACACTAAAAGTGTATATGTACTACTCTACAAAACCTAATTCATTTATCTTTTAAACACTGGCTTTTCCTGTGAGGCCTGTCATACAGTATTGTTTTTTTATTGCTTCAAATCTAAACTGTGATACTAACAGAGACTACTTACTGTTTTAATTTTCCTGGACAAGTTAATTTACAAATCAATATACATTAAAATATGAATAATACTAGGTGCAGTGTAGTGAAATATTTATTTCTGTGATATTTGCTGAGTAGTTTATCTTGATTCTAATTTATTTGAACATTTTAGTGACCCCTGCTAAACTTAACAATACTTATCATGTAAAGTTAGGCTGTGACAGATTTGACACATTTATTTATTTTTTAACACAGAAGGCAAAATAAACACCAAGGATTCAAACTAGTGATGTTTAAGACAAAACAAAACAAAGTACTAACATAATGCAAACGATAACCCATAAACTGGTTTCTTGCAATTTATCCCCTCTGGAACAAGGCAATGGGGAATGATATTTAGTGTGCTTGGTTGAATTAACAACAAACCAAAGTAAGGATGATGACATGTGATAAGTTCTTGTTGTGCAGCTGACAGCACAGACAGGAGGGGGGGGGGCATATAGATTGAAATAAATCCAGCATATGTACACCAAATGCATCCTGTTGCATCATGGGCTTAATCTGATATATTCTTACCTGCTTCTAGTAATATAAACATTGGCTGAAAATACTGAAGGAACAATGTTAGAAGATTATTAAATATCTTACATTTCATAGAATTTATAAATGTAAAATTGACTTTGTATGAAAAACTTGTTCTATCTAAAGGAAGGGCATGTTAAGAATAACTACATTATAAAAAATTCAGGACCTTGGTGTTCATAGTGTTTGGTCATTTGCAGGTTAACATTTTGGGTTAACGACATTAGTATGCTCAACGGTAATATGCTTCAAAATAATTAGTAATGCATTTCATAACACTGGTGTTTAAAGGAAATTAACTGGACAAAGGTGGATATTTTTAAAAGACACAGGGAGTTCCAACAAATAAAAGGCTGCAAATTAAGTACAAAAATGTGGGTTAATCAAATGAGGCATTTGCATCTGCATCTCGCACATGCAACATGGATGCTCGTCAAATTTCCTGCATAGACACGTATGCAGGGGTGCAACATTTGGCTAAAATTAAATGATCTTTAAGACTGCTTCATATTTTAACTGGTAATGGAACAATTGCCCTGCTGAGTCAAAATGCCAATTCCTTTTTCTTGGGAGTCTGTGCATGTGAGCAGCTTGGCACAGAGTGAAACATGAAAGCCTATTTAGTTATCATGTACCAGAGGTTGAACTGTAATGTCTTATATGCTTCTATTTTTTTCCAATCAATTTCCCCCCAAAACATCATATATAATATATATATATATATATATATATATATATAATATATATATATATATATATATATTATATATAAGAAAATTGTCTTCCTCAACTTGCATACATAAAACAAGAATTTTTTAAAAAGTCATCTATTCAGGATTGTCAGTGTTATACGTTGAGTATCCCAAAAGAATACAATGATCTCTTTTTCATTCACTGAACTGTTTATTTAATTGAACTTCTCTTTCTTATCACAGTTATACTGAAAGACTAAATTAATCTGAAAGTAAATCTATAAATAGTGGTTGTCAGTAATATCAACTAATCTAATCATAAACCTTGATTCCCAGTGTTAAATTCTCTCAGAGAAGTTTTATATTTTCCTTAAACTATGTTACATTACAAAGAAAGCTTTG